TAAGTGTCTGAGGCCATATTTGACTAAGAAAGATGAATCTTCCTGATTCCAGGCTTGGCACTCTGTCCGCTGTGTCACCTAGCTGCTGTAGTTGGTCTGGGGTTCAAACAGCAAATCAGTGCAATGTTAGTATACTTTAAATTTTTTTGTTTAGTGAGATTTACTTTGAAATATAAAGTTGAACATAGAGAGGCAAGGAGGTGCTTTGGAAAGAGCACTGGGTTTGAAGCCAGGAGATCTGGGATCAACTCCCACTTACGTTTACTTCTCATGTTTCCTTAGGCAAGACATTGAAACTTTCTGGGACTCAGTTTCTTTATCTGTTAAGTGAAGGGTTTGAGTTAGATGACTTCTAAGGCCAGAACAAAATCAATTATCCTGTTATTCCATAGCAGTTTGTAAATGATTACTAGGACCATAAAACTTTTGTTTCAACACTAGGACCCAGGGGCATCTCCTGGGCTCATCTAGTGCATCCCTCTACACTTGCATGGGTAGAATTCAGTGGGCAGACGTGAGAAGACAAAGCAATCCAGGTATAGGGAATAGTGTGAGCAAACATTTTCAGTGGGAAAATTATGAGATATGATCAGGAAAACATCAACTAGACAGATTTGACTGGAATGCAAAGTGAAGGGGAATAGAGTGAGAAAATAAATTTATCAATAAGCATTTATTAAGTGTCTCCTATGTAGGCAGCTAGGTGGCGCAGTAGACAGAGCTCTGGGCCTAGAGTCAGGAAGACTCCTGAGTTCAAACCTGTCCTCAGACACTTACTAGCTGTGTGACCCTGGGCAAGTCACTTAACCCTATTTGCCTCAGTTTCCTCAAATATAAAATGAGCTGGAGAAGGAAATGGCAAAACACTCCCATGTCTTTGCCAAGAAAACCCCAAACGGGGTCACAGAGAGTTGGACACAACTGAAAAATATGTACTAGGTACCATGCTAGGTGATTGGAATGAGGACAAAAATTAAACAGTATTTATCCTTAAGGAGCTTACATTTTGCTGAGGGGAACAACATACACAGACAAGTTGGTACAGAATATATACAAAGCCATTGTGGGGGTAGGGGAGGAGAAGGAACCAGTAGTTAGTGAAGTGAAGAAGCATAGGAGGGAGGTTTTAAAAGGCAGAGGTGAGGAGGCCTGGGTAATAATAGCCAGTGCAAAGGTCTGGAGACTGGAGATGAATTGTGGGGAGAATGGAGAGTCTTTGGAGCCAAATTGTGGAGGGCTCTAAAGGCCAAACAGAAGAGTTTGTAGTTTATCCTGGAGGCAGTGGAGAGCTACTTCTTGAGCAGGGGAATGACATGATCATACCTTGGATTTTGGTTGCATAGGTTGGAGCTCAACTAATTTATATAAACATTTGTTATTTGTAGGGCATTTATTGTTCATAAATGGTCACAAGTTGTGGTTTTTATCAAACATCTTGCATACATGTTTATATTATGTTAAAGAATCTTTGATACTTTGAAAGATGCTTTGTTAACCTGGATCTTAGACAGCAGCCCACGTTAGTTTGTTTTGGGGCCCAGACTCAAACTATAGACCTATCAGAGTCTGTGTTTTACTGACTTTGTCTTTGAGAATTGAGGGTCACCTCCTCCCATGTGGAGGCATGAAAGAATAAAATAATCTATTTTTTTAGATATACATATATCTATAGCTATACATACATACATGTACATGTACATATATGTACATATATGTATATAGGCATATATACATATACACATATATACATATGTAAATAACAATCTATTAGTGAATAGTATGTGTTAATGGAAATCAATATACAAAAATTATGTGCTCCTTCATTCAATAAACACTTATCAAGCATTGACTGTGTAAGTCCCTATGTTAGAGGCTATGGCGATATAGAGATAATAATATAGCAACTAACACTTACATAACTTTTGTGATGTGTTTTTTCCTCCTAGTAACCCCCAGAGAAAGGCAATACAATGATTATTTTACTCCATTTTATTAATAATAATAATAGTAAAAGCTAGCATCTCTATACTCTAAAGCTTGCAAAGTGCTTTACAAAACACGATTTCATGTGATCCTCACAACCACTCTGGGAGATAGGTGCTGTAATTATTCTCATTTTACAGATGAGGAAACTGAAAGAGGTTAAGTGACTTGCATAGGTTCACACAATCTCAGGCAGGATTTGAACTCAGGTCTTCCTGACTCTATAAGAACTTTATCCAGTTATACTAAGAAGATCAGAAAATCAATAAATAGAGGTAAAATGACTTTCCCAGGGTCATACATTTAACTGCCCTTAAATCCTTGTCTCTCCAGACTCCAAGTCCAGAGCTCTTACCACTACATTACATTGGATCACAAAATCTCAAGAATAATACATGATTTTACCTTGTCCTTGCTCCTCAGATAGTTTAGAGAGGGACTGATTTTACAGGACTTTGAATTCTAGAATGAGGAGATGGTACTTAATTCTGTGGCTAAATTTTCATTTTAAATTCTAAATTATTATTCTATTATTCTAAATACCTAATTATTCTCTGCCTCTTTTTTTTTTAAACTCCCAAGTTTCCATCCTGATCTTCCCCCTCCTCCCCCACTGTAGACTCTGCCTCACCTTTCCCACAGATGAAATTTCCCGTGGATCTTTGTGCTTGGGGACCAAGCAGAGAAATTCCATGACTACGAAAGAAGGAAGGAATGGGAATAGAATAAGAGGAACCAGGTACTGGATGGGACAGATCAATGAATGGATCCAGAGATCAGGATAAAACCAGTCTTATCTAAGCTTTGTACTTTCCCCAGCAAGTATAGCAATGTTTTGCTCGTAGTAGGAGTATAAGAAATGCTTGTTCAGGGAATTAATGAAAAGAAGGCAGCCTACCCTCCTGAGAAAGGTAGGCACTCTAGCTCTGTCCATCATTCTTGACTCTTGCTACTTTCAGTGAAAATACAAAGCAGCTAATTATTATGATTATTTTTGTCTGGGGAGGGAAGTGTCCTTCACACTAGTAAAAGATTCAAATCATTCTCCTTGCTTTCCTGAGCTCCCAATGATGGCTGAGTGGGGAAAGCTGGGACTAGGAGCCTGCTAGAGAGATATTCCAGTCTTAACCTGGGGTCCATGACCTTGTTTTAAAAAATATTTTGATAATTGATTTCTTTTGTAATGTGGCTGTGACACAGTGGATAGAATGCTGGGCCTGGACTCAGGAAGACTTGAGTTCTAGTTGGGTCTCAGGCACTTCCTAGCTCTGCCACCTTGGGCAAGTCCCTTGGCTTCTTTGACTCAGTTTCCTCAACTATAAAATGGGGATAATAATAGCACCTTCCTTGAAGGGTTGTGAGGATCACATGAGATATTTGTAAAGCACTTTGCTAGGTATTATTTATCCCATACATTTTATTTCATGCCTTAAATATATATATATATATATACACACACATTTTTTTTTTTTTGAGAAAGGATTCATGGACTTTAACAGACTGCCAAAGGACAAAACCTGCCTTAGGGCAAGACATTTTACTTCTCTAAGAGTCATTTCCCTCTCCTGTAAAATGTGGATATGTTCTAACCCACTTCACAGGATCAAATTTTAAAACAGATGTAAAAGCACTGTATAAATAAACATAAAGTATTATTTGTATTTAGAAATACTAGTAATTTTTTTACAAAAAAATCGATGTATATAATCAGTTCAGGGATCTCTCATCTATGACAAACTGAGACAGTGTGTAGTTGGGAAGTATGGGAAGCAGCAATGAAGCGCTGGATGGTCCAAGGGCTATTTTCCCTTTTTGGAGAAGCTAGGTCCCCGACGAACAAAACAGTATGTGGATCTCCACCCCCATTCCCCATCCAGGGTTGGAGGTGATTCACGATTAAAAGAGTATGTATGTAAAGGCTGGGGAGGGGATAGGGGTGGCTGTGCGGTAAGGTGACTACTCGAATGAGCTATGGCCTCTGGTTTGTGGGAACCAGGAGCAAATAAGACACTCAGCTGTTCCCCCAGATGCAGCCAGCAGCGCTATCCGCAGGGAGAAGGGGGTATACCTCTTCAGCTCCCAGCTCAGCGCTCACTACAGGCCGTGCCAGGGTGGGGGATGGAGAATGGGGGAGCGGTAAGGGTTGGGGAATGGGAGGAGGGAGGATGAGAAGAAGGGAGGGGGATTTCTTCCTCAAGCTGTTTCCGGTTTTGCTGCCATATTCCGCTAGAGGGTTTGGGTTTTTTTTTTCCCCCTCTCTCTAGGGAGGGAAGAAAGAGGAGGGGAAGGAAAGGAGGAGGTGGAGAAGGCGACGGCGAAGAGGCTATGAGACATTCATCAGACCAGGACAGGGTAGACTGGGTTTCTAGTCTCGAGGCAGGACTGGCTTGACCTCCTTTTGGTTCCATCTCAATCTCCTCGCATCCTTTTCCCTTTTCGTAGGTAGTGGGGGTGGGCACCAGCCGGCTTTCTCTCCCTTTCTCTTCCCTGCTGGGGCAGGCCTCCCGACCCTCGACCTGAATCTGCCCGGAGGAGAGCGGAGCTGCCTACACCGCCAAGCTTGCACTGCGCTCAGGACTCATAGCCCTTCGCCAGCAGCCACAGCTAAGGGGTGGGAGGGTACACCGCGCCCACCGCTTAGATCCTCGTCCTTCGAGCCCTCATCCCCTCCCCACACCCCTTAATTCTCTATCCTCGTCCCCCTATTTCTAGCACGCTTTCACGAGCTCTACACGCCACCCGCGCCCCTCCATCCTTGGCTCTTTGCTGTACCCTCCGGAGCCCAGATCCCCGCCCCTCACCCTCGTAGCCCCAATCCCTACTCCTTCGTTCCTGGCACCCTGATCCCTATCCCAGACTCCCGTAGCCCAGATCCCTATCTCCCCAACTACCCCTTCTCAGTCCATCTCCTCTCTACCAGGAGCACCTAGAATTTCCTTCTTCCTCTACCTCCTCTTTCCTTCTCTCCCTTCCCCTCCATTCTTCTTTCTCCTCTTTCTCCTCCTTCCCTCCCTCCCTCTTCTTCCCCTCCTTCTTTCTCCTCCCTTTCTCCCTCCCCTCCCTCCCTCGTCCGCCTTTCCTCGTCCTCTCTCCGACCGATAATTCATTCTCCCCACCGGAGCCAGCCAGTCTGGGTGTCGCGGGAGGATTGGGAGTGAGGAGGCAGAGGAAGAGGAAGAGGTCCACTGTCTTTCTTGGGGAGAGAAGGTAAGAGATTCCCCCTCCCCGCCTCCTTCTTTTCTCCCTCACCCTAGGCGCGCTGTCTAGGGTATGGAGGGGGAGGGGGAAAGGGGGAGGGAGAATGTTGAGGCGTGTGTGTGTGTGTGTGTGTGTGTGTGTGTGTGTGTGTGTGTGTGTG